TGGATAAAAAGAGTTTCTGTGCTGCATGCTCAGTCTCAAAATTAAACTGCTGAGTGTGGCTCCAATGAGGACTTGCTGTGTGCCTGGAACTGTGCACAGCTCAGGGGCACCAAATGGATCTGAGGCAGGAGCGGCTGCTCCTTGCTGAACTGTGCTGGTTGGCAGGAACTACCATAATTACCATAATAACAGCACAGTTAAGGTTTAGACTGGGCAGGACACAGGTGGTACCGTATTACCTGTACATGGTGCAACTTAAGTTTTTAAGAAGTGCTTAACATTTTAAGAAATGCTCCTGGATAGTAAAAATATTACAGATTCACAATAAAACAGATTCAGACATAACAGACCTCAGTGGATCACAGTGTTGGATGAATGTACGTAGGCTTGAGAGAGAGAAGAATAAAAATATAGAGAATAAAGTAAATGTCTTAAAAAAAGGGTAAAGTCTTTAAAGAGACAGAGTACAGAGAGTTAAGAGATTAAAAGAAATAAAGAAAAATAAGCCACGTAAAAATGGAAAATTCACAGAGCGTCTGGATTATGTACATTGTGTTTTCTTTAAAATTTTTGACTGTAAAGGAGCTAAGTACAGACAGACATTTCATTACATGGGCTGCCAAGCTAAACCAGAATGGATATAAAGGTATTACGATTTCAAAATTTGGGTCTAAGGATATGATACTTTGGAAAGGGTCTTCTTTTGTTTTCACAGAGGACCAGACCCTGTGGATTTCTTCTATCCCAATTTGGTATGATAGACCATGACCTCCCGAAAAGTTGCTGTGAACATCTTCACAAAATTACTTCACTCAACTGCCAACTGAGATGAACCTGACACACAGGTTACACCCTAAATGATCTGATTAACAGCGCCCCCATTCAGCAGGAAGCAGTTTGGAGAGAAAAAACTGCGCCCATGTTCCCAAAATATTGTTTATAAATGTTCTTTTACATTTAAAGGGGGAAATGATATAGGTATGAATAATTTGCATTGGTATGGATTTAAAGGTCAATTTTGTTAGATGTATATGTATTTCTGATATTGATTAAGGTATTGTGATTGTGTAGTTCATTAAAAAATGTAATGTATAATTAAGAAATATAGGTTAATGGATAATCATCAGTAATAGTCAAGCTTGTAGTCATGTTAGTTAGATTTTCTAGATATATAGAGATACATTTCAGTTAGATAGACATTCTTCATATCTTTCAAAGACTACAGAATATGTCATTTAATGTTTTAATAACTTAGGACTTTTCATGACAATGAGACACTCTGCTCCTGGCAGCACCAATCTACTTCAAGAAGAAGATGGGCATCGAAGAGGATCCTTATGGAGTTTGATAGCTATTTGGGCAAGAAACTGTTCTTGACTGGACTGTTGCATAAACTGGACAAAGAGAACCCACAGAGAGAGGACTACTGAACTTGCCTAAAGGTGAGACGGTCTTTTGGGGTTCATGACTCATGAAAGAGTCTGCGAGACATTCTACAAGACACAGCAGATAGTGACTGAACTGTCTTTGAAATTTCCTGCTTCATGGAAATGTCTGCTGGATATTATGGGCCTGAAGGCTGAAGATGGATGCCCCAACCGTACAAAGGAACTTTGGGCGACTGTCCAGGCAGTGAGATGTCTCTGTCATTTCTAGAGTTTTCTTATTTCTTGTTTACTTAGGTAGTATTATATCCTTCTGGAGTCTTTGATGGAGTTGAAGAATGAATAGATAGTTATTGTTTTCCTTAGTTATGATAAAAGATAAAATAGATATAAATATTGTAACTGTAATTCTTGCTTGATAACTGTTTTGCTATATGTAATTTTACTATGTTAAAGTTAAAGCCTTTCTTTTTTGTTTAAACAGAAAAAGGGGAAATGATGTGGGAGTGATTTCTTATTAATAAAGAAACTGCCTAGACCCATTTGATAGGCCAGCCCTTAGGTAGGCGGAGTAAACAGAACGGAATGCTGGGAGAAAGAAGCTGAGTCAGAGAGTCACCATGGTTCTCCCACTCCAGACAGACGCAGGTTAAGATCTTTCCTGGTAAGCCAGCTCGTGGGCTACACAGATTAATAGAAATGGGTTAGATCAATATGTAAGAGCTAGCCAATAAGAAACTGAAACTAATGGGTCAGGCAGTGTTTAAAAGAATACAGTTTCTGTATAATTATTTCGGGTAAAGCTAGCCATGCGGGCAGCCGCGTGCCAGGGACGCAGCCCTGCCGCTCGTAACACAACACCTGGTCTTGGAAAGACAGGGCCTCTCTTGCCTGATCAGCTTCTCTCACGGCTACAGGCACCTCTGGCTCGGCCCCTGGATTATAAGATCATGACTATCAAGAGGAGAATCCTTCTTCACAGTTCTCTTGGCCCCTCTGAGTTCACATGGCATTTTCCTCCCACAGACATCAGTCCTGTTGGATTTAGACCCACCCCTTTCCACCATGTGCTCTGATTAACTGTGTCTGCAATGGCCTTATTTCCTGGTAAGGTCACTGGCCTGGTTCGTTGTTGTTGCTGTGATAAAACACTCTGGGGGAGGGATCGTCAATCCTTTCCCTTGTAGGGAAGTTTAGGCAAAGGGGATGTGAGGCATCGGGTCACATTCATGGTCAAGAGCAGAAAGAATAAGTGTGTGTGTGTGTGTGTGTGTGTGTGTGTGTGCTGTGTTCATTGTCTGTACTGGCACAGTCTAGGACTCTACCTAGGGAATGCTGTCACCCACAGTGGGCTGAGACCTCCCACATGGGTTGTCAATCAAGACTGTCCCTCACAGGCTAATCTGATCTACAAGAGTCCTCATTAGGTCTTCCTCCCCAGTCACCCTTGTGTCAGGTTGACACTCACGACTCATTAGGTCTCCCTCCCCAGGTCACCCTTGTGTCAGGTTGACACTCACGACGGATCATCTCAGCCACATTTGTAGGTGCCAGGTTCAGGATGAGAAACACATCTCTTTGCGGTGGGAGGTACAGTTGAGCACAAAATATAACCTGGAAATGCTGCCAGTCGGGGCGAGTCACTGAGTCATAGTTCACTGTCCTACAATGTTAGTTTTAAAGAACACAGACGAGAAATGAAGCATCTGTCAATGAGCCTTCTCTCAAGCAATTGGCAAAATAAAGATTTGAATCCCCCACCCCGCCATAAAAGTTGGTGAGAAACCTTGACCTGCAAGCCAAATCAAATCGCCTGCACGACATGAGATAACCCAAGAAGGTCATGATTTAGAGACATCTGGATATACCCGGTCATAGTCATGAGCCCTCCCGGATAAAAGAGAGTTGTCTTCTGAAACAATGAAGTACAGGTGAGGTGTGGTCTGGACTGCTTCCCTCCCCCAGAATGAGACAAAGCTGTCCACCGATCGCAGCTGCAATCAGGGCACGGAATGTCTGTCTTTGATCCTTCCGGGTATGTCACCTCTGTGGACGTGACACCTTTGATCCAACCCTTGTGTAAATCAAAACCTCTTGACCTTTCACTTAAATAAAAGGCAATCACTGGGCTGTCGGTGAATAAAAGATGGGACCATTATTCAGGAGGCTTTGCCGTCTGAGGAACAGGGAGGCTGTTTTTGGAAAATCTATGGCAGAGGATAGTATAATTATAACTTGGGTTTGTGTGGCATTCAACCCCAAGTCATCTCAAAGCCCACAGTGGTTTTCTAGCAACCTTTCTCCAAAAAGAGACAGTCACCAGAGCAACACGTCAGTCGGGTACATTTCTTGCTCCCAGACATTTGAAATCAGCACTTCCTAACAAATCTGCCCATGTTGTTGGACCAACACCTTGACATATTTAAAAACGCTGTCGGTAAAATAAACCTGGCTTAGAACATGAGCTGTGATCAGAAATCTTATGGGAAAGGATACGCCTCAGGTGGAGAAGTTTAGGGGTTTCATGCTAAGTGGAGTCCATACTGCTAGGGTGCTGGTGAAGATTGAATTGCTTGACCCACCCAGAACCACAGAACTTCTGCTCGTTTGGAGATACACTCTACAAAGGAGAGTACGATGAGGTTACACTGAAATGACATGCCCAGCCCTCATCCCTGGGGCTGTCATTAAACAGCACTCAGGACAGAGACACAGAGAGGCCCCTCTCTAAGATGCAGCAGAGACCAGAGCACAGCGTCTACAAGCCGGGAGGCCAGGAAGGCACGGTCCAGTCTTCGAGGGGCGAGACCTGCTGCGGCTTTGCTCTCCGACTCCTGACTGTCAGAACTGCACGAGCCCCCAGTTTATGACAGTGTCTTAGTTAAGGTGTCTGTGGCTGTGACAAAAACACAGTGACCAAAAAGCAAGTTGAGGAGGAGACGGTTTATTTGCCTTTTACTTCCAGGTCACAGTCCATTATCAGAGGACCTCAGAACAGAAGCTCAAGCAGGGCAGGATCCTGGAAGCAGGAGCTGAGGTATGGAGGGGAGCTGCTTACTGGCTTGCTCCTCATGGCTTGCTCATTCTGCTTTCTTATAGAACCCAGGACGACCAGTCTAGGGATGGCACCATCCACCATGGGCTGAGCCCTCCCCTATTGATCCCTAATTGAGAATATCCCTTACAGTTGTAATTCATGGAGGCATTTTCTGAATCGAGGCTCCTTTCTCTCTGATGGCTCTAGCTTGTGTCCAAGTTGGTACACAAAATCAGCCAATACAGCTGACCCCTTGTCAACTTAACCCATGAACACATCACTATTAAGCCACAACCCTTCCTTTCTAATTCATCTCTAAGACCTCACATTTAAAAACATAACTTTAAAAGTCCCACAGTCTTTACAAATTTAAACACATTAAAATTTCAATCCCTTTAAAATAGCCAATCTCTTTTAAAACCCAAAGTCTTTTAAAGTTCAACGTCTCTCCTCTGTGGGCTCCAGTGAAACATTTAATTATTTCAAGAGGGAAAAATCAGTGCACAGGCACAATCAAATCATACCAAAACCAAATATCCAACCATACTACGGCTGGGAGTTATTCTTGATTTTCCAGACTCCTCCAAGGAGCTGGGTCCCTTCTCCAGCTCTGCCCTCTGCAGCACACACAGCTTGTCTTCTAGGCTCCTGCTGGATCCACTCCACTGTGCTGTTCTTGGTGGTCATTCCTTGGAACTGGCTTCTCCAAAATGCCAGGGTCTTGTGTGGGGGGTGCTGAATAGTGGATGAGCCAATATATGGGGACACAGTTGTGGTGGCTGCGGGGCTGGTTAGAGGCTACTAAAGTTCCTGTGGACTCAAGTAGAATGTTGTAAGAACATAATAGATGGTGGGGAGAAAGCCTAGGGTTGCTGTGAAGGCTTTGACGCCATGTGTGTCGCTAATAATATCTTCTGAGGGCCATGAATTTATTGTAAAAAGAGAGCATGCATTTACACTGGGAACAATAAAGGCCATGTTGAGCGGACCAGGGAAGTTTGCTGAGAATGAGGTCAATTTTAGGGAGATCCCTTTGCATGTATTTTACCTACAAGGTGGTTACACTAGGAGCTCCACCGAGATTCCCGAATTCCAGACTGCACCCGAAATTGCATTGGAACTGCTGATGGCTGCGAACTTCCTAGATTGTTAAGTAAAATAAATTATAATAAACTGCTAATCTTTTCAGTATTTCATACCTGAGTTCAGTTGGTAATTTTTTGCACATATAGCATGTTGCCTGTATGAAACTGAACCCTAAAGTTAATTGCTGAGCAGATTCCTCCTGTCTTTTGCATAAGCAGAGTTGAAATTTGCTTGTTACATCAACAAATTAAGGCCAAGAAATAAACAAATAATGCCAGCTTGTAGGTGGTTTGCTTTCTCCTTCGGATGTGACCTTTAAAATAATAACTAATAAAGCAAATCCTGGAATGTAAACATAAATGAGCATATTCTACAGGTGACTATGGGGCTAAGAGTTTTTATGTTTTAGTATTTTTTAAGAACCAGTCCTGATCTTGCAGTGTCTGAGCACAACTAGGGCTATGCAAATAATTACATGAAAAAACTTGTTTATAACTTAGCCTTGATTTTTGCACCTCAAAGAACATGAGTTGAAATTTCTTAATGTGTTTTTTTTTTTGATAAACTGCAGTATTGTTTAACAACAAAAAAGAACAGAACAACAAAGAAACGCTGGGGTTGCAACTGGGCGGAACTCTCCCCAATAGTCAGTGGCTCTCCTCATGGTGCCAAGGCTCAACCCCTTCACATGACCCCTTCAGTCACTTCATGCCACTGCCAGTGAGGCTCCACCTTTGCCAATGGCCACTCCTGGCCTCTCACAGTGCCAAGCCTCAGCTCTCCAAAACCCTTCATGCCTTCAAAACCGGTACCACCTGGGAACACTTCCACATTACCAAGTCCGGCTGCCAGCACAAGGTACAGCCTTGGCTGCCTCAGGAACACAGTTCCTCTGTGCTCTCGGGAAACACGTCCCAGAAGACTTCACCTCAGTGATGTTGGTCTCTTCTTAATCACTACTAATTTCTTAGCTCCAGCTGACCAGCATCCATTATCCCAGCAAAGCAAAATTCTGCTTCAGTAGTTCTAGTATCTTGTTAATCACAGCTGATTCTTCAGCCCCAGCTAACCAGACCCTCAGGATGTTAATTCAAAGTATCAAATGGCTCTGAGAGAGTCTTTAAACTTCTCCCTGAGACTTCACAAGCAGCCCTCCATCTCCTGCACTGCTCTCAACGTTATCTTCCAAGTCCCCACAGAACATCGCACTTGGCCCTTAAATTCACTGGTTCTTGAAGTCCCAAGTCCTTCCACAGTCTTCCCCAAAACATAGGTCTGTCACCGCAACACCCCACTACACTTGGACCCTTTTCTCTTAGCTAGGGTTTTTATCGCTGTGATGAAACACCATGACCAAGAAGCAAGTTGTGGAGGAAAGGGTTTTTGGCTTACACTTCTACATTGCTGTTCATCACTGAAGAAGTCAGGACAGGAACTCAAAACAGGGCAGGAACCTGGAGGCAGGAGCTGATGCAGAGACCATGGAGGGGTGCTGCTTACTGACTTGCTCAGCCTGCTTTCTTATAGAAGCCAGAACCAGCAGCCCAGAAATGGCACCACTCACAATGGGTTGGGCCCTCCCCCATTATTCACTAATTGAGAAAATGCCTTACAGCTGGATCTCAAGGACGCATTTCCTCAGCGGAGGCTCCTTGCTCTCTGATGACTCTAACCCGTGTCAGAACAGCCAGTACAGACACGGCCATGAGAAATGTGCACAAGACAAGACAAGTGTATGAAGTTCCTTGAGGTTCCTAGTCTCCGGTGAGGTGGGGAGCACCAGCTCTCACACACTGGGTGACCTTAGCAGGGCGACAGCGTGAGGAGGAAGTGAAGGAGGCACCTCTGTGGCCATAGCTCTGTGACTGCTGCTGCCTGACACTGACATTTTGCACATTAACCAGAATTTAACCAAAGGCGATTTGAGCACATCTATGACTGATCCTACCAAACCTAGCAAGAGGACGGGTAAGATGTGTGCGGGTGAAGAGTGACAGAAGACATTGAAAGCATCACTAAGGTCACAGGTGTGCACACACAGGTCCTCTCCACATGGGAGAGCCACGGACACAGAGAGGCACAGGGGCAGGACTTCCCAAGGGTCTGGTAGGACTCTGACCACAGATCCCAAACTTTATGTCCAGAGCCATGGGCATGCACCAGCTTCTGCACCTGCAAGGAACAGGGCATCCTGTTTTCCCAACAGGGTGGCCAGCTCAGTGCTGGAGAAAAAGCCTGCCCTTTAGGGCCCCGTGGCCCATTTCACCCTGGAGAGAGCAGAAGTGTAAGTTCTATGATGATTCCATGACACACGCATGTCAAAACTCCTTAACTCTGTAACTACATCCTCAGAGCCAGGGAAGGAGGATGGCCACATGTGACTGATGTTTCCAGGATTTCACATAACGGGGTGTATTTTACTTCCCCAACAGGTGGGGGAGAAGGGAGATAGGAGGGAAAGTTTCACACTAAGCTAGTCAGATTCACGCTAGGATAGGTGTTTTCATGCAGCCAAGGCGGACTTTTATCCTTCAGCCTCAGCCTTCTGGATTCTGGGGTGAGAGTCGCATGCCACAATGCCAGGTTTATGTGGGGCTGGGGTTAGTACCCAGGGCCCTGCACATGCTAGGCAGGCTCTTTACCAACAGCACTGCACCTCCGGGCAAAGTGGTGCTTGTTTTCTGGGAGCATCGCAAAGATGGGTCTGACCTTGAAAATGACACTTAAAACGACCGAAAAGCTGGCTATTTGAAATGATTTGATTCCTGACTCCTTAATAAACATCATCTCTCGACTCTGTCCCATGTGATGAGGGTGGGAGGCCACACAGGTGGGGCAGAGGCTCTGTGATGACATCACTAAAGTAGAACCAAGGCACAGGATCTGGTGTTTGTTTCTCTGTTGCTGTCTGCTGCATGAACACTCTGGGAAGGGCTTAGCAGGTTTAGAAGTCTTTTGTATACAGGGATTTCCCTTGGTGCGAGGCACCTAATGGGATCAAGAACACAGGGACTACAAATGGTACGCTGTGAGCCAGACTCTGTGTTTCTAAGTCAAGTGGCCACTTGTGTGGACAGTTGCTGGCTGACCACATTTGACCTGTGTCACCCACAGCTCCTGAATACTACCTGATAAGGCATGACAGACTCTGCTGAATTTCCTGGAACACCACTACTGCCCACTGGCCTATTTATGGAATTATTTTGCCGTAAGGAAGGTTAGCTTTCCTGGGACATGATGTCACAGGAGCCATCGGGATCACCTAGCAACGGAACACAGCAACATGTCCAGCTATTTATAACCAGCTGGCTGGCTGCGCCAAGAGGTACGCACTTAGATCCACCAGAGAGCGTGGGGTCATTTGATTCTTCTGGAAGCCATAGCTGCTTCTAGAGTTGACAGAGGGTGAGGGAGCCCAGACTCTCAGCTGTAGTGCTTGGTCCTAAGCACGTTCCATAGAACCTCCAGTTTGCTCACAACACGGTAGAGCACCACTGCCCAGAAACCAACTCATTCAGAACCAACTCAGGCAAGCTGGGCGCAAAGACAGTGCTGGGGACGGGCACACTGACACGGAAGCCTGGTGGCCCGAAGTCCATGGGATCCTCCCTTTCCTCCAGCCATCCCAGGACCACTGTCCTAGGCAGGTGACTGAAATCTCAGGGCCTGAGAAAGGAGCCCAGCATCTCAAGGATAATTCTGGGTAGAGGAACGCCACCTTCGGGTAGCCCGGGGCCCACCTCCTGCCTGCTACAAGCACTCATTCCTTCCTGCTGGAGGGGTCCTGGACTTACCATCCCTACCTCCACTGAAATACAGCCTTTCTTGACCCCAGGAAACTGAGTTTCCATGTAATATGTCTTTCATCTGTCATGAGTTTGAACTCTTTGGCCTCAGTGATATTGTTTTGTGAACAATCAAAGAAAGTGAAACCTTCTGGACACAAAGTATCACTGGCAGATGTAGGGCCATAGGGGCCGGTCTAAGGGCTATAATCTGGTTAGCCACTGAGGCTTAAATCAGCCTCCTCCACTTCTACCACCACAGCCACAAGCAGCTCTCAACACCAGGCCCTCCCCACACAATGGCCTGTTTCCTCTTAAACTTACACCCAAATGAACTTCTCTTGTGTTGCTTCTTTGGGGTACTTTATCATAGTGATGAGGAAAGACTGGCCTCTCAGACCACTGAGTCGTCCTAATGCTCTACAGTGAGGACAAGGGTAACCACTGCAGACATAAGTCACTGCCGAGCGGCGTGTGTGTGACAGAGAAAGCTGTCAATATGCAATTACGGTGATTTCAGATAGGAAATGTCACGCGTGCTTCCTAACAGTACCCCAGCTCGTCTCGGCTAATGCACTGACTGCACATCATACTAGGGTATTCTATTGAAGACCATTGTCTTTATGATGCTAAGTATGAACTGAACTTCATACATTCATGGTCTGGTGTTCACATGTGGAAGCTATGGTCGATGTCACATGTTCCCTGTGTACACACATGTGGGAGCCTGCAGTCAGTGTCAGACGTCTTCCTTTAGAGATCTCCGTCTACTTGCTTGTTTATTTAGTTAGTTAGTTAGTGAACAGGGCCTTGCTCTACAGACCAGGCTGGCCTCAAACTCCCAGGGATCGCTCTGCCTCCTGCATGCCAGAATTAAAAGTGTGCACCACCACAATGAATCCACCACCTCCCTGAACCCAGAACTCATTGATTGGCTGGAATGGCTGGCCAGGGAGCCCCACATATCTGCCTGTCTCTAGTTGACTAGTGCTAGGGTGAAAGATGTGAGCTGACACACTCTGGGAATCCAAACTCCAGACCTCACTCTTACACAGCACTTGGAGCCACCGAGCCATCTCCTCACCCTCTGCACGCACTTCTAAGAATAGCTCCTGACCCTTCAGAGAACTGCCCCTGGAGTCAGCGTGCAAAGCATAAGCAAGGGCAGTGAGGAGAGAGACAGTGCCAAGGCCATCGTACTCACCCTGTGTCTTCTCCTTCTCCTCTTAGGGACACAGATCCTCCGCGCCTGAGTTTCAGAGAAGACCAAGGTAAACAAGAA